AACTTGAGCTAGTTGTATTCAACCAACTCTCTATGTTTCTTTTACAGAACAACCTCCTGGACAACAACCAATCTGGCTTCAAAAACGGCCACTCAACTGAGACTGCCCTGCTCTCGGTTACTGAAGCCCTGAGACTGGCAAGAGCAGCTTCCAAATCCTCAGTACTCATCTTGCTGGATCTGTCTGCTGCTTTTGACACAATCAACCAGCAGATCCTCCTGTCCACCCTCAGAAAGTTGGTCATCTCAGGAACCACACTCCAGTGGTTCAAGTCCTACCTCTCAGGTAGGTCCTTCAGGGTGTCTTGGGGGGTGAAGTTTCTAAGTCACTACTTCTTGCTACTGGGGTTCCTCAAGGCTCAGTGCTTGGACCACTTCTCTTCTCCATTTATATGTCGTCATTAGGATCTGTCATTCAGAAGCATGGTTTTTCTTATCACTGCTATGCTGATGACACTCAACTCTACTTCTCATTCCAACCAGATGATCCAACGGTAGCTGCTTGCATTGCAGCCTGTCTGAGAGACATTTCTAGCTGGATGAAGGACCATCACCTTCAACTCAACCTTACTAAGATAGAACTGCTTGTGGTTCCAGCAAACCCATCATTTCATCACAGCTGCTCTGTAGTAGCAATAATTTTTCTTGTTCTCTCGGGCAAAGAATTGACTCGGGTTTTCGTTCAAATTTCAATCGTTTACTGGATATTCTTGCTCAATAAACAGAAACAAAATAAACACTGGTCAAAAAACTTTGTAGCTCTGTCTTTTTTTTTCTTACAAAAGTGGCGCCGTAGAAGACATATTTTGGAGATTTCTGCTCTTCGTCTGAACACACACACACTGCGATTTCCCTTAGAGTCAGGCATTGTCTTGAGGATGCGACCTATCATCCAGGTCCTCTTCTCACCTCAAACGGACCAAAGAAATCGACCCCAGTATTAGTGAATGGTGGTTTGTCTGGAAGCAGCCTATCTTCTGGCAAATCTGCCATTTTTTGGACACCAGTCTTTGCATGTAATCGTCTGCAGACAAAACATGCATGAATTGTTCTTCTAACTGCAGAATTTGCTTGAGGAAGCCAGTATTTCTGTCTTACCTTGACGAAACCATGTCCTGGCAAAGCTAAGGATCCAATTGGTATATGCAGCTGTTTTTCTTGACATGCATCTTTCCTTGTTGCAGCATTTTTATTTCTTCCTGAAACTTCTGTTTCTGGCTGTAACGAATTAGATCTAGCTAAGCATTCACTATATCCTCCATGGTAGGTTTTCTTTTCTTCAAACCTCTTTTGTAGGTATCCATTTCTTTCTGTACTAGAATGTTTTGTATTGAGATCTCTTTCTGTGTGACTGATCCTCATCTGTATCTCCTTCCTCTTGCGACTTAAATTCAGCAGGATTTCTTTGAGATGTGTAAGCCGTACTACGGCCTTCTTTAGGCGATGCCAGTGTAGCAGATGTCAAACAGTACCCTCGGAACAGAAGCACGACCACACATGGATGAAATGAGTGATGGAATTTATTCCCCTTTAAAGAAGAGTAGTATGAGACAAAATTAGTACAAACACACCGATAGGCCTACTCTCTCACTCCCGTGCTTCCGGTCCGCATTCACAGTGAGACTGAGCGCGAATGCTTAAAGGAGAAGCGATACACATTGCACATATACTAGACAACAAAATAAAACAGTATTTCACGAAATATAACAATGTAACATAACAGTTAATACAAAAACACTCTGCATACTTGCAACATTCCATCATGCAAATACTTCATGAAAAATGTATGTAAATATTATGTGAAATAAACTTCTTTTGATACAATTATGCTGTGTCACTGAATAAGACTGCACGAGCAAATAGGACCTATATATATATGAGAGAGCGAAAGATACCATGCTTCCCGTCCGCATTCACAGTGAGACTGAGCGCGAATGCTTAAAGGATAAGCGATACCTCTTCCTAAGGTGCGCCACTAATTAAGACCCCACCTACAACAATTGGTAGGAACTCCCAACTGGAACCATTGAAACTAAACATGAAATCGCAATTATCAAAAATAAACATTATATACAAGTTTTGATGAAGTTAACACTTTCAAAAAATATCTTTCAACACAAACAATATAAAATAATATCCTATAAAGTAAATGATATTAAATAAAATATAAAAGTCACAATCAATTGGCTACACCAGCATGAATAATAACGAACAAGACATTCTAGACCTTCCTTACTGTTCTGAGTGCATATTACGTTAACAGTGGAAACCTTTTTAAGCTTGCTGTCATCATCTGCAAATTACATTGAATGTTCAGGTCGAACTGGCCACTCACATTGTGGCTTCAGCAGGAAACTAGGTCCTTTGATCCAGTTTTTGCTTCGATCAATTGTCCGCATTTAGGCCTCTCGAAGCTTGGTCCACAGGATTATCTGCAGAGCTCACATACCTCCATTGAGAAGGTTTGGAAGCTTCTCTAATTAATGAGACTCGGTTTGCAACAAACGTCTTGAATCTTGTGGAGTCGTTCTCGATATATCTCAGCACTGTGGTGCTATCAGCCCAAAAATTTGACTCCTCAAGATCGATTTGAAGCTCCTCTCTCAGCATCCTATCCATTTTGACTGCGATGGTGGCTGCTGTCAATTCCATTCTTGGAATAGTAACCTGCTTGAGTGGTGCCACTCTGGACTTTCCCATCATGAACATGCAGCTCCGTTGATCGTGATCATTTGTCAACAAGAGGTATGTGACAGTCCCGTATCCGTTCTTGCTAGCATCTGCAAAGTGATGCAATTGAAAGGTCTTGACATGCCCGAACCCTGCAGGTTTAATACATCTACTCACACTGAAGTTTGCAAGTTTATGCAAATCTTCCAGCCAGGACAGCCACCTCTTAGCCTTTTTCTCTACAAAATCCTCATCCCATGCTATTTTCTCTCTATACAGGTCCCCCAGAATGAGCATTGCCGGTTGCACAAATGATGCTAGGAACCCAAGAGGATCGTAAACTGAGCAAACAACTGACAATATACCTCTTCTGGTAAGCGGTTTGTTTTGCACTTCAATCTTGAAATTAAACTTGTCGTTCTCCGTACACCATAGAATTCCCAGTGCTCTTTCCATGGGAAGCAACCCGCTGTCCAGATCTAAGTCTTTCACGTCAGTGGCTCGTTCCTCTTCAGGTATGGACGAAAGTACAGTTCTGCTATTACTAGTCCATTTTGTCAAATGGAAGCCACCTCGATTACAAAGCGCTCTGATGTCTCTTGCAAGAATGACTGCTTGTTCTTCAGTTGCCACTGATTTAAGGCAATCATCAACGTAAAAAATTTTCAAGAATGTCTGAGCTGCTTCTGGAGTAGTGTCGTTGATTCCATCTTCTGCTGTCCTTTGAAGAGCGTAACAAGAACGACTCAGTGAAGAGGTTGCACCAAACATGTGTAGCATCCTGTACTCCTCTTCATCTTGATCCAGGTTGCCGTCCAGCCACCAGAGGAACCTCAGGAAGTCCGCATCCTCAATAGGTACTCGAACCTGATAAAACGTTGATTCAATATCAGCCCTCATCGCACACAGAAGAGCATACGCTACCTGCGTTCAGCTCATATTCTCCAAAATGGTGCTACGGTGATGCGGAGAGACACAGAGGAGAACAATTGTTGAATAAAGTCGTTATTTTATTTTTCTTTGTGTACAAAAAGTATTCTCGCCGCTTCATAACGTTACGGTTGAACCACTGATGGCAGATGGACTATTCTGACTATGCTTTTCATACTTTTCTGGACCTTGACAGTGTAATTTACTTGGCAGTCAATGGGACAGTCACAAGCCTCCCAGTTTTCATCAAAAATATCTTAAATTGTGTTTCCGAAGACGAACGAAGCTTTTACGGGTTTGGAACGACATGGGGGTAAGTGATTAATGACAAAATTTTCATTTTGGGGTGGAGTATCCCTTTAAGTCAATAAAGTTGACCAAATCTTCAAATGTGGCTCTTCTTCCATTTCGTTGCTGGACATCAAAGGCTGTTTCTCCAACGTTCTCTGAATCTGAAAGGAAGTTTTGAAATTACTGTTCTCATGTTTGTTGGATTGTTCATCTCATCCATGAATTCAACATCAGCCATGGTATTTCTACATCCAATAAGGAATAAGGCGTAGGTCTTCATTCCCTTACTGTCCTCTGCTTTGATTTGTGGCCATTTTAGAGCTTTCTCAAGGTAAGCTGTAGCTATCTTCAGCTCATTGCCATAATGCTGCTGAAGGAGACATTTAGCTTCTTTATATCCCTTAGCAGGACTCATATGTTCACAGCTGCGAACAAGAGCTTGTGGTTCACAATTTGTGAACTGTTCAAGATAGTATAACCTGTTATTAGTTATTAGTCTTGTTATCAATCACATGCTCGAATGCCCTTATGAAAGAAATATAGGCAAGAGGATCTCTAGAGAATATTGGTACATCTCTTTGAGGTAACTGGAATAAGCTATGCTGCTTTATCAACAATTCAGTTATCTCATTTTGGCGTTGCATCACTTTGAGCTGATATCTGCCATCATCAGTTGACTGTTGAGAGTTACCATGATCTGTGGTTTGTTGAGATGGTCTCTGGATAGAGCTCCAATCATGGGTGCTTGACATAGGCTCAGACTTTCTACATGGGTTAGATATTGGCTGAACTTGACGTTCCTTTCGGCCTTTGAATGAATCACCAGCTTGTGACCCAGTCTGTGACCTGTAATAATCATTCATGCCATCTTGACCGTCTTCATACTCTTTTAACACTTTGAGTTCAGCATTTGATACAGCAATTTCTGTATCCAGTTCAAGATGTTCTCTTTTGGCTTTCAATCTCAACTCTTCAGCCTCTAATTCTTGCCTCTTTCTTAAAGCAGATACCCGGGCTAAAAGTGCTGCACGCTTAGCCTGTGCCTTGACACGAGCAAAACTGGTTGAAGATGCCACAGAACTACTTGTCACAGATCCACTTTTCCTTCCATCACGAGGAGCCATCACTTCTGACACACTATCACTTGGTTTGACACCATCGTCGTCTTCATCTTGAGGTTAATGCTCATCAGACTAATTTCCTAAACTGCTGAAAATGTTCAATCTTGGTCTGATCTTTTTCCCCATCATCATCAGACAACATGAGTAACATTTCAGCATTCAACTCTTCAAACTGACATAAGATCTGGCAAAAGACATTCAGTTCCTTTTCAACAGTTTTCACATCTTCTCTGTCTTGCATTAATCGGTCAATGTCCTTCGTTTTGCGTGTTAATTGTGCCAGTTTCCCTTGTCTTTTATTCTTAAATCGATTAATTTTCTCGTCAGCTGCCTATGCATTAGGCTTTGGGGATATGTAAAGTGGGAGGAGTTGGAGTTGGTGCACCGCTGTAATACCAGTGTACTTACATGGTAACTCCTCAGGAACTGTCCACTTAATATAAAGTGTAACATTCTGGACACCAACCACAATTTATATGTAAAGCCTAACTTACTGGCCACTGCTGTGTAACATCAGAGTAATTACATGATAAATCTAATCTAAGTATAACACTTCCTTTAACAAAAAGTGCTGTTAGTCCTGTTACACATTTGTACTTACACATACCATTCAGTGGGCTGTTACATATGTGTAGTTACACAAACATTACAGCTGTAAATACTATGTACCAATGTGTACTTACACTGTGGTTACATACTACATACACATCTTGTTACTATGTAAGTACACAGGTATTAGGGACACTTAATATAAAGTGGAACCCAATAATTTGTCTTCTTGTTCTCTCGGGCAAAGAATTGCCTCGGGTTTTCGTTCAAATTTCAATCGTTTACTGGATGTTCTTGCTCAATAAACAGAACCAAAATAAAGACCGGTCAAAAAACTGTGTAGCTCCGTCTTTCTTTCTTTCTTACAAAAGGGGCGCCAAAAAAGGCGCTTAAAGACAGTCCAATAATAAAACGAAGCAAACCATTACAGAATAAACATGGGAGGGTTTTTAACAAATATACATATACATCCAAACACATTCAAATTATACCTACTCATGCACTTCTAACTTTAATGTTAAATGTAATTATTCAAATTATGGCTCTTACATGCTCTATACAGCTGGGTTCATCAACCATAACTCCTTCCAGGATCGCCAGAAACCTTGGAGTTGTGATTGATGATCAGTTAAGCTTCACCGACCACATTGCTACAACGGCCCTGTCCTGCAGATTTGCCATATACAACCTTAGGAAGATTAGACCCTTCCTGTCAGAGCAAGCCACACAACTTTTTGTCCAAGCTCTTATTCTCTCCAGACTGGACTATTGTAATGCTCTCTTGGCGGGCCTTCCCGCATGCACTTTCAAGCCTCTGCAACTGATCCAGAATGCAGAAGCGAGAGTGGTCTTCAATGAGCCAAAAATAGCTCACGTTACTCCTCTCCTCATCAGGTTGCACTGGCTACCAGTAGCAGCTCGCATCACATTCAAGGTACTGATGCTTGCCTACAAGACAACCACTGGCGCTGCACCAATATACCTAAACTCACTAGTTCAAACTTATGCACCCTCCAGAAGCCTGCGTTCTGCAAGTGAACGGCGCCTTGTGGTGACATCCCAAAGAGGCACAAAATCACTCTCACTGACCTTTTCCTGGACTGTGCCCGGCTGGTGGAATGACCTCCCGATCTCAATTCGAACAGCTGAGTCTTTAGCCATTTTTGAAAAAACATCTAAAGACATATTTTTCGCCAGCACCTGACCAACTAATAGTAGCACTTACCTATTCTGTTCTGTTCTATTCCATTCTATTATTTAATAATAAAACCTAGCTCCGTGTACTGTGCTAGACTGAGACTTGTCATGGCACTTGTATACTGTTGGTCTCTCGTTGCTCTGATATATTTTTGGACAAATTGTTCTCATTTGTAAGTCGCTTTGGATAAAAGCGTCTGCTAAATTATTAAATGTAAAAATGTAAATGTAAATAATAATGGGAGTTTTTTTGAGAGTGCTTAAATTTGTGCTAGACTGAAGTCATTGGTAATGGAAATATTGTTGGTTGGCTTTTGGTAGACATATAATTTATTCACTGTTTAAATAATGTGGAAATTAAATAAAGGTCCCGGCCAGGATTTTAATATTGCCTAAAATAGCCAGGTTTCGGCTGTTTGCACTGTGCAGGTTGATCGTTGTGTGACATTCATGAGAGCTATAGAGAGCAGAGCAGACAGCTCCTTATACTTTTGAATCGCTCTCACACCTACTTTGGTGTCTTTTTTGATCGGTGTGCAGCGACGCTTCGAGTCAAAGGAACGAACAAACACGTGCACATATTTGCATCGCTTTGATCGTTTCCTGTAGATCTCACCTTCTCACGCGCAGCCCCACGATTGGTCGATTATGTACAATACCTGCATGTTATTGGTCAAACTGCTTTGGATGTTTTAGGCAATATTAAAATCCTGGTCAGGAAGTGTCCCGTATGAACGGCGCATATGGCCACCCTATATTAAAAGTGTGATCATGTTAAATACAAATTAAGTCCTATTAAAATATTTTGAAGTGACACCCATATCTGTTGCTTGCCTAAAAATACGGTTTATGTGTGTAGTCTTTTAATTTGTTTTAAATATGTTTTATATTTCTTTTACAGCACTTTGGTTTTGACATTTGTTGTTTAAAATGTGCTTTATAAATCAATAAACGAAACTATAGTGCTGTGAAAATAATAATAATAAAAAAGCTTAAAACACGGCTATGGCTGCCGAAAAAACAAACAAACATGAAATTAAAGTAAAATATCATAATTTGAATAAAGGGCAATAAACATCAACAGAAATTTCCATTAAACATTTTACAAAAAAACATTATTATTTTACATGTTTTTCCTGAGTTATTACTAACAAACCCATTCACTGTAAAATGTGCATCTTTTGCAGTTAACCAGAACTAGCACACATGCATAAATGAATGTAACTCTATGTACTGCATCAGTATATACAGAGTTACTGCCTTTAAATAAAGCAACACGCAGCAGAACATCGATGTTTCTTGTTCGCCACCACACATTACATATATATTTTCATGTTACGTGCACAAATAAAAGCCTAAATAAAAGTGTGTTGAATTTCTACCTGTGATAAATTAATTTATCCATTTAACTGTGGAATTGAATGCCAGTATGAATATTAATATGATGTGATAGACAAATAATTTACACATAGCCTATTTGAATTGCACATGGCAAATATTTTCTTGAAATAATTTGTATTCTTCATATTACTTGGGTATTTAAAGATGTAATGGAATAAGTCTGAATGAAAACGTTCTCCTGAAGTAAGATCTGAGGGTTTGAAACTTCCGAGTCGGATCACTGTAATGTTGATCAATTTTCAGTGATAGTTTAGTTGTCATGTCGTGGCCTGATTCACTGATACCACTCAGTCTGATCTCTAAACAAAATGTTTAATTTTACTATTAATTTCTCATGCCGATATTTCTGCAGGAAATTTGGATTTGTTTTTACAGTGTACCACTGACCTATAATAATGAAGATCAGTGCTGTCTTTGAATATATATTTTTGGATGTGTTTGTGTAACAGAATTGATGTAAAATCAGAGCAGCAGACGTTTCTGTTTGATCTGACAGATCTCAGTCTTTACTGCATCGACTTCAGTCCTGACTCCTGAATTAACAGAATTGACACAAAGTTTTTTTTTTCCTCCCCAGAAGCACACATTACTGTATATTAGCCCCGAAGAGAAGATTCTTGGTTGAAGATGCTGGAGAACAAATAACAGCAGATTAAGACTCAAGATCAAGACTGAACATTTCTGTTGCATCAAGATGTCTTCTGAAAATGGCAAAAGCGAAGAAGGGGGAAGAAACCCACCTGATGCCAGTTTATATCACATAGCTAAAGATTTATTAGCATTTTTAAATGGGTTTGATTGCTTACGTGAAGCTAAAAAACAGGTTCTAGGGAAAATGACGATTAAAACACTGCATGAACATTGGAAAGCTGATGTTATTGAAGAAGCTTTTAACGTAACAAAATTAATGGACAAAAAACACCAAGCACACTGGGCTTTTGTGACAATGGTGCAGGTGATGAAAAGTTTAATTTGTGATGAATGTAAACAATATCCAGCACAGGAGGAATCGGGTGTTGCTGGGGGGTGTTAATAAGCAGCATTCTGGAGGAAGCCACCAAACATCTAGCTCTGGGCAAACAGGTGGTGTCAGTCAGAGCTGCACTGGGACACCAAATACAGTCCGGAGTCAGAGCACTGGGAATAATCCCGCTGATTCCAATAGACATGACAGGCCTGCTGGAGCATTAATAAATACACAAAATAATAACTGTAGGGAAACCATCTACATACGTATCCCACGCTTTTTAATGATTCACAATGAAGAAAGAGTAGGAGAACAATTTAGAAACATCGAATCTCGCTATAAATTAATAGATGGAGTTCCTGAAACTGAAAATATGTTTAATGAAATAAGGAAAAGAAAATCTTACGTCATGTCCTTCAACCATCAAACCAGGAATGCTAACTGGGTGTATGAGATACTGAACAGGGATACTACACCTGAGAATCCTGCGGAGGCATCACCATTTAGACAAACCTATCACAGAGGTCATCTCGCTGCGGCTGCCAATCACTGGTGGTGTTGGGAAGCCATTGATGATGCTAATGTGATCGACAACAAAGTACCACAGCATAGAACTTTAAACACAGGCCCGTGGAGAACGTTGGAGCGTGACTGTCGAGAAGCAGCCACAGCTCAAAATAATATCCGCAATGTCCATGTGTACTCTGGACCACTTTACCTAAGAGATATGGTTCCTCGAACGCTGGAAGGGAAACGGCTGCCAAGCCACTTCTTTAAGGTGATAATTGAGGAGAATGAGGATGGGACAGTAAATCAGCTGCAATGCTGTAAGATGCCCAATGGGAATCTCCCTGGGGAAAATCTAAGTACAGATATTTACAGGACCATTGAAGAGATTCAGCGAAACTCTGGGCTGACTTTCATAGAACGCAGACCCAATGTGGGACAGAATGCAATAGCCAGTGAAATCACAGTGACATTGCGTGGAGAAGATGGAAACGTGCAACGTGCTGCTAATATACAAGTCACAACAAGTCCATTAGTTTAGACAAACACACTCCATGATAATGCTTACATGTCTCTTTCTTTCTTTACAAAACTAAACTTTATTATTATTATTATTATCATTATATACATATGACTTGAGCCGTATAGCACAGAAAAGAAACCAACAAGTGTCCAGCAGATACAGAAACTTCAATATTGTTTAAAAGTCGTCTCATGTGGAAACATTATGACATTTTTGAGGACTTTCCTGTTATTCTAAAATCCTACTTTAAACGTATTCTAATATGTATTTAATTACTTTTGAGTGTTTTGTCATTTGTAATTTTCTACACAGAACATTACCAGATGCTATTTGTAATTCATTAGTTAATTACAGAGACTGTATTTTGTATTTAAAAAAAAAAAAAAAAGACATATATTCCATATAATTAATTCCCAAATAATTCAAGAACTTTTTTGGATTCAGAGGCGGATTCATCTTAATCCACTCATGTTTGAATCCAATTTAAAAAAAATTAAAATATGTAATATACATGCATATATATATATATAAGCTAAATATTTAGCAATATACACTGTTAGATATTGCTCACTGAATGTCATTACTTTACAAAAGAACAGGTGACATTACCTTTTATTTCTATGGATAAAATGACATTTTTATAGAGGCTGTATGTAAGCATTTTCATGTATTACTCACTTTTCATTGCCAGTGAGTGAACAGCTTGTGAGGAAACGTGAAACAGGAATCCTAGTTTGTCTATGAAAGCCTGCAGACTGGTTTTTATCTGAAGGACTTGAGATTGCCAGGAAAACCCAAAGAAAACGATCATAAGAGTGTGATTTTAATCAAGCTTATCTGTCGACATGACGCGTGGTGTGTGGGAATATACAAATGTTCTCTTATGAGTATGTTTTATTATCTTTTCATATATGCATTCATATTTGTTTTTTCAGTTATGTATTTTTACAAGTATATTCATATTACGATTCTATTATGATTGTGGCTATGATTTACAATCTCTGAATATTATATTACATTTTTATAGGTTATTGAGTTATACTCATTTATATCTTCTAGAATACTCCTTGAAGTTTAATGCAGGTCATCCAGTACCTTTTACATTTTGTTTTCCTTCATTTGACAAAACAATGGTCTACGTGGTATATTTTCCCTTCAGTAGACATATAAAAGCTACATCTTGTTATGTTAATGATGTTAATCATCTGTAATCTTCATCACTTATACTTATGATAATAGATTTTTAATAAACTACACTTTTACGGAAAGACTTTGTCTGCCTGGATCTCTTCTCAGTGCATCAATGCGCAAACACACGAGGAATTTGTTGTGGTTTGCGCACACTTGGTGAATAAAGCTGATTCTGATGTCGGTGAATCAGTTCAGTCACAGGTTTGGATTTTCCTTCATTTTCCTTAATAATCACTTACTGCTCTTGACTAGAAGCTTCAATAAGCACTATAAGTCTATATTTATGTCATGCATTTAAAAATTATGTAGTGTTTTATTTTACATTTGAATATTCAATTTCTGTATTATTTCTTGGATGCAACTTTTAACCCATATGGCTTCTTTTTTTTTTTGTGGCCAAAATATGTTTTAAATATATACTAAGTATATGTCACAAACAGTGATGCTCAATGAAATATATTTTTGAAATAGTAAATATATTTCGTTTCAGCTTTCACCAAAATATATTTCTCAATGAATTTCAACGGCAAAAAAATGCATTTTCTTGGAATGAAATAGAGATTATTGTCACGAATCCGGTCTATGAACTTCCGTCTGCTTGCCACCAGAGGTCACTCTCCCACTACTATGAACTCTTGCACCACACCACTGTTGCACTTCACCCGGACTACAGTTCCCATCATCCATTGCACTGATTACACACACACACACACACAGTTGATTGCACACAGCTTTCTCAATGAATTTCAACGGCAAGAAAATGCATTTTCTTGGAATGAAATAGAGATTATTGTCACGAATCCGGTCTATGAACTTCCGTTTGCTTGCCACCAGAGGTCACTCTCCCACTACTATGAACTCTTGCACCACACCACTGTTGCACTTCACCCGGACTACAGTTCCCATCATCCATTGCACTGATTACACACACACACACACACAGTTGATTGCACACAGCACTGATTGCACACAGCTGTTATCAATCACACCTTCCCTATATAACACTCACTCTGATCCCCGTCAAGCTGCCGAGTATTGTATAGCATTTATCACTCTCTTAGCGATAGCTACTCTACGGAGCCTGTTTACTTTTCATAGACTTAGCTTAGTCTTGCCTTTTCTGTTTCCTCGTGTCCTTATCTTTGCCTGTGTATCTCGGATTCCCCCTCTCGTCTTGTCCTATTCTGATACTGTTTGCCCTGCCTGGACCTTGCCTTGGACCTGGACTTATCCCTCTAGTCTCGCCCTATTGATCCTGTTCGCCGATCGTAGACCCACGCTAGCCCTAGGAATATTCTGGTGTCTTGCCTCCTACATACCTGTTACCATTATCTGACCCTTGCCTGTCTCTACCATGTCTATTAATAAAGCTTTGTACTTGGATCCGCACGTCTCCCGTCTCGTCAGCCCCGTAACAATTATATACAGGTCAAAATATATAGTTTAAATGCTTTTAAAATATGTATTAAAATATATTTTCAAAAGTAAATATATTTTCTACTAATAAAATATATTAAGTATAAGTATATTTTCTAGAAATATATTTTGGCAATTGTTTTGTGTATTTTTAAATGTATAAATATTTTCAAAAATATACAGAAAATTAGTAGAAAATATATTTATGTAAATATATTTTGAAACATATTTTAGCAAATATATTTCTTGGCCATTTTTTGTATATTTTTTTTACAATTTATTTAAATATAAAATATTTTCAAAAATACATATTTTAAATATATGAATATATTTTCAGAATACACAGTAAAAAATAAATAAATAAATAACTTTTTTATATATTTTTTCCCAGTCATTTTAAATCGTAGCCAAAGTAATGTTGATAAATCGAGATATTTCCAACTGCGCCAGCAGCTTCGGAACCGGAAGCCAGTTATTTGCTGCATTTGAAACCGCATACTTCCCTACTATATAGTAGGCAGACAGCAGTATGTGAGCGAACGAGTATGTTTGAATCCTCAGTATTCATAAAAGAGATGGTGAGGATTATCTGACTGGTGCACTAATCCTCGTGAGATTCAGACTTACGTATACTTTATTTGCGTTCGAATATGCCCAGCATGGTAGATTTTGGTAGATTTGTCCAATGATGAATCAGCTTGCATGACATGTCCAAAGAATGTAACCGTTGCATGGTAATTCGACATATCTGGCTTGACTTGATTTAGGACTTCCACATTGGTTTTCATCGCCGTCCAACAAATCTGGTGAAGCACTTCCTGCCTCAGGCCCCTCTCTGCTCCACACTCATGCTATGATTTATGTATGTATTTTTGGTTACACTTTATTTTGATATGTTGTATGTTGTGGACCCATCAAAATAAAGTGTTAGAAGATATTAAGCAGACAGTCTACTAATACTCTCATGACTGCTAGTTGACATGTAGTTGCAAAGTTACTGTTAGTAGAATGTCTAAAGTGGACTATCGAAATAAAGTGTTACCTTATTTATTTATTATAATTTTTATTTCAGGTTGTTTATTGGTCTATTGGTCATTTTCACAGCTTTCACAAGAGACACTGTCAATGCACTTTTAATAACAATAAGCATTTAAAGTGCATCAATTTGGAGAGTAACTGACAATGCAGTAATTCGGCATTTAATTAAATGCAAATATTAAGATCTCAGTATAAAAACATTTAAAATTGTTATAATAAAATAATACCCTAAAGAGAAAAGTTTGTCTACTTACATATCGTGTTTACAGTCTCCTTTTCCAGCTGCAGCAGCTAAGCTGCATCAGTGATATACAGGCATATATATAGAGGTGGACAATCACGTGGTGTTTAGAAGAGAAAACAAAGCGGCGATGCGCAGACCAATCAGTGACAGATCATCAATTGGTAGAGAGCAGACGGCTCTCGTATGCGCAAAACTGGAATATTGCATAAAACATATGCGAATAAAACACAGCTTCCATCCAACGAGTCAAAGAGAACAAAATTGTCACTCCCAGGTAAACTGGGCACTAAATATCACTAAGAATATATGAGAAGCCACTGAATATAATAATTTTCATATATGATAAATGACTTGCGCCTCAGAGAGAGCAGACGTAACTCAGTAAATGCTGTCAATGCTTTCGGAGGTGGATGCTGCTGTTTGGGAACGCAGTGGTGTAAGACAATTATACAGAAATACTTTGACGACAGACTTTGCTCAGCTATTTCAGAATGACCATAACAACATATAGATGCTGTGAACGAGATCGGTCCATAGTGCAGAGTTATCTCATAGTGCAAAGTCACATGACTTTTTCGAAGCGCATGGAGGAATTTATTCGGTAAATGTGTTTTCATCATAGTTAAAAAAAAGTTTATCCTACTCAAAAGTTTTTTATGCACATTTTTAGAATTTATGCGCATCTTAGCATTTACATCCAGCGTTTTTTATTAGATATTCAAAAATGCGCATAAAAATAGGTGGATGGAAACGCAGCTAATCACGTTTACACACTGCCTCTGTAACTTTCGTCTGTCATATTAAAAAAAAAATCAGATCAGATTTGATTTTCTGAGTTTTCGTATCCGTATCAAGTATTTTAATAGGAAAGGATTTCACCATGAAAGTGAAAGTAAAATCTGTATGTATTTTTGGTTACACTTTATTTTGATATGTTGTATGTTGTGGACCCATCAAAATAAAGTGTTAGAAGATATTAAGCAGACAGTCTACTAATACTCTCATGACTGCTAGTTGACATGTAGTTGCAAAGTTACTGTTAGTAGAATGTCTAAAGTGGACTACCAAAATAAAGTGTTACCTTATTTATTTATTATAATTTTTATTTCAGGTTGTTTATTGGTCTATTGGTCATTTTCACAGCTTTCACAAGAGACACTGTCAATGCACTTTTAATAACAATAAGCATTTAAAGTGCATCAATTTGGAGAGTAACTGACAATGCAGTAATTCGGCATTTAATTAAATGCAAATATTAAGATCTCAGTATAAAAACATTTAAAATTGTTATAATAAAATAATACCCTAAAGAGAAAAGTTTGTCTACTTACATATCGTGTTTACAGTCTCCTTTTCCAGCTGCAGCAGCTAAGCTGCATCAGTGATATACAGGCATATATATAGAGGTGGACAATCACGTGGTGTTTAGA